GGCTAGATCTCCATTGATTTTTGACTAACCTCACTTGAAAAAGCATGGCGTTTTAATGAGTTCAGTGGTATGACACTAGATGGTTCTAGATTAGGTACGCAGTTGGCCACCGGACGGCGGAAAAATACGTTGTACAGTTACACATCGCGAAATGAACCGCGATAGCATCGGTGTTGCTCAACTCGCCCTTTAATCTTACGGCACGAGCTGTTTCCTGGCAGCCTCAGGAGGATTTTTCTCGTCAAGTGCGATTCACGGAATTGCACGTGTAGGCAGCGAGTTCATCGAGAACCGAACGAAGCAAGGATGATGATGCCACAATGGTACATAACCCGAGTTACTTCGTTGCGGTCTGCTCGAAACGATTCTACGATAACCACGTTGCACTCACACTGCTTCTTTACGAAGAGTAATCGTTTGATTGGATTTTAATTGAACTTGCGTGTTTGCCACTTTGTATTAGGGGAAGAAGTGGAGCAAGAAGTGGTTGGTTGTTTCCGGGAAAAAGAGAGGATCAGTACGAGTGTGAATATATACTTTGCAATGTTCCATGGGTAACGATAGTCTGAACGAAGAAACAAATTGATTCAACGATGGAAGACAATTGACTTCGCTGAGATGAAATCGTTTAAACGATGAAATTAAGCAAATAGAGTATTAGAGATTTAATGATATTTATTTATTTATATAAAATTGATATACATACATATATATATGGACCGATTCTAAAATAGCGAAAAATGAAATCTACAGGTTATATTAATAATAATTTTGAAGTATCACTCTTGTAATAAGACTTATGAAACTTAATGCATTTAAGCAAAGATAAAGGGAAAACAAATTTTGCAACACTGTGTGATTGTTTCAACATGCAAATTGCGTAAATAGTATTCCATATAATTAAGTACAGTCTTGTTATTGCAAGATCTCGTCGACGGATAAATCATTGGGCGCCATCGAACGGGCTGGTGCGGCAACTAAATCAGAGATTAATAATCTCTTTGACATTGAACTTGTGGGAGGCCTGAATCTTCCATTCGTAATTTTAAATTGACCGATTCGTTTCGCGGTGATCGCCGCCAGATGAATCATTAGTCGTAAAAAGGTTCCATTAATTCTTTGTCAACCGTAAAACAGCGACGATTCCTCATCCATTGCTTCGATTGGAGTTGTTAGAAAGTTTTTCAACATTGTCGAGGTCATCGATAACCCTGAAGCAAAATGTGAGTTTCATTTGAGGAATGAATCCAGTTACTCGACTGCACTTTTCAGATTTCCTTTCTCAAGGTTGTGTTTTTTAAAGCCTTTGAATTGTTTCAATAGGTCGACGGGAGAAACCACTACTTAATGTCTCTTGATTGGTCTACTTTACCATAAACATTACTTTTATGATCTATTCTACGGATGTTAAATTTTTCAACTTTATAGTACCTTTTTCTCAGAAACCGTAAGAGATATTGAAACCAAATTTTAACCACATATTTCTTGGACCATATTATGTATATTTATATGGTAGAATTTGAAAATCTTGCTTGGAACCAAAGATATATTTTTTCAAAGAATACTTAACCCTTTTCTCTTTATTTTACCAATCTACAAAAATAAATAAAATCACTGCTAAAGAAAAGAGATATTCGCCGTTTCTCGCCGTGCAGTGATATGCAAAAAATATTATAAAATATTTTCTGTTCGTCTGATTTTAATAAATTTTATGTCATTTTAAAGAGCACATTACGGAGAGTGACATATATTTTTCTTTTTCTCAGAAAATGATTTTCTCCTCTTAACTTTGCTATGAATCAAAGAGCGAATATTATTCCAAAAAAATTCGAAGTGATTTGATGATATAAAATACGATCTATAAAAAAGGTGACTTAAAAAATTAAAAAAAGAATAATTTACGATCTTTAGCTCATTAAAAAGGATCCACAGAACAGTCTCCTGTCTGAGATTTTA